ATTAAATGGAGCCTAAAATTTTGTTCATCATAAATCCTATCCTAATAGTCCAAAGGAACGATATTTTAACATTTTTAATCATTTTAAACAGCATGTATTATGTAATTTTAACATCAAATTTCTGTTTCGTTCGTCCCCGAAATTTCGGAAAATACTTCATGGTAGGCCCTCTGTATTGATTTAGATAATGTTCTTGTAATCGACAGGGTTTTTTAATACATGATAATGGAATAGTAACGTTACCTGCGCTAACGATATACGCTGGAGGGGTACCAGTAAGGTATGATAGGTGAGAATGAAAAGGCAGGTCAGTTAGCCCATCATGATGAATGCACTTGGAATTCAGCACGATGATATTCAGGGGGAACACCGATGACATCGATCTGACAAGGTATATTGCTAGCAATGGGACTGGTAGTTCGTATTACTAAGAATCCCTCCCCCCATCGATCGATAGGGTTTGCTCCTGTGTTGTTGATATATTATAACAAAATTGCTTATGGCGAAGCTAAATGGCATGGCTGTGTTTCGGTTTGAAGGAAGGGATATGACGTGAATTTACAGGGTACAGGGGAATAACATCTGAGTCCTCAGGAATGGCAACGCATAGGGGGTATCATGGGCGAAATAGTATACTCTGTTATGTCCACGGTACTGCTCATGTCTATAGGCGACGGTTACCACTTTCCATCAGGTGGGCCGTCAGCTTGTTTGCTAAATTGTATAAAAAAAAAAGAATTGAAACAATATTTGTTGACACACGATATGACGTTCTAAATTCAATAATTTCATTTCAATATACACATATGTGTATATGTATATTGATACTCCCATAGTATATTATATGTATGTATGTATATATATATATACATACATACATATAATATGTATATGTATGTACATATTATATGTATGTGTGTTTATAACTACTCCTTTCCATCCAAAGGTTGCCTGGAAGAGATCGCTCTTAGCGATAAGGTCGCCCATTGTTTTCTCATTGTGATTATTTCTTGTAATTGTTTATATTTATAATAGGTTTACTATTGTAATCTTTTGGAGGAAACAATAAAGAGTATCTATCTATCTATATTAAAGTTGGATAACATTATAATAAAAAAATAATGTCATTGATATGCAATAATCCCTAAAGATACTATTTTATATGTTTAAAAATGAGGTTCATTTTCAGACGCACTAAAAATAGAGCTCATTTAAACCTATTCCATCAAATGTCTAAGACTAAGGCGAAATCACTATTCTGGGAACCAATTTAATTTAATTTCTTGCGTTCGCTTTCAAACTCGTTACAAATTTAATTACTAGTTAAACGTAGTGTACTAAGGATCACGAATTGATTCCGAAAGTAGTCGAGCTTTTTCGATCTAATTACACGTAAGTTAAACCGGTAGTTATTAAATTAAAATTTAGGAAGTTTGTACAAATTTCATTACAGATGTATATATATATATATATATATATATATATATATATATATATATATTTATATATACATATACATATACATATATATACATATTTTTTTAATTTAATTCACTCATAACCTTATTTTCTGATATTGCTCACAACTTAGGTTACATGTTTATTTTTGTTATTTACTTAAATTTCTTACACTGTATAATTATGTTAAAGTGAATGCTGTGAATACCTATAATAGGCGTGTGCATTAATATTGTACTATATTTAATGTTGTTATACCTATATGTTATAATGCAATATGCTGTTGGTGTTCCTTAAATAAATAAATAAATAAATACATAATGTACAAATAAAAGCTAAATGTATTTATGTTAATATTCGTTTTGAATCTATAAACATTTGAAATACTAACTAAAAAATACCTCAACCAATTACTAATTATATTTTTAGAAAATATTTAAATTATACATATCAAATATGTATTTGGATTTCATTTACCTATTTTAGTTATAAGCAATTCAAATACTGCCCAGCCCTGCCTGTAACAATATAATATCTAGACATGGCATTTCATAAATTATTTATATTAATTTACTCTACTAATGAGAGAGTACGTTCAGCAGTGGACAGGTAGCGGCTGATAAAACAATTCCACTAAAGCTTTCATCGTCATCATCATATCAGCATTAAGCCTCACCCTTTGTGGGTTTTACCAGTAGGGCGGGTTCAATATCTTCCCGCCCTAGTAAAGAGAGGAGGCCTACTTAGGAGCGGGCCGTCGCCGTCGAAGTCTCGGACGACTTCAAGCGGGTTCGCCGCGGCGCCGGCGATAGGTGGACGAGGAACACCGGGGCGTTTTAGCTGGTAAGAGTCCGGCAGTACCCACATATCTCCTCCGAGCTATGTGGGTCTGCATGAAGTATTTCCCCCCTCGACAAAAAAAAGGGGGTTTTACCAGTAGCTGCCACGCTTAGCAGGCAGATTGGCAACCGCTGTCTTTTTTTTAATGGATGATAACAGAATGGTAACCCCGCCTGCGCTATCGGTATACACCGGCGGGGCACCAGTGAGGGATGATACGTGAAAGTGATAAGTGAAAATGAAAAAACAGGTCAGTAGACCCATCGTGACAAATTCGCCTGGAATTCAGCAGAATGGTTTCCAAGGGAGACCACGTGGAGGTCGACGTGACGGAGTATATTGCTAGCAAAAGCCTGGTACTCCACATTACTAACAATCCCTCCCCCCCGGAAACCGCAGTCAGGCTTTAGAGATGTTTTAAAAGGAATACTGCTGCCTAACCCTCGCCCTCTTTAGTCGGCTCTTCCGACACCCACGGGATAGGAAGGCGTGGCCTATTCTATGCCGAAACCATACGGCTAACTAATGCCTTATTTACTTTAATTCAGAATTAAATTATTTCATATTTAAATCAGTTTTAAGTAGATTATTTTATCAGAATGAATATCTTAGATTTTTTTTTTTATATATCAATGATTTTTAGTTTTACTTATTTTTAACCTCTGTCCCAAAAAGTTTAATAGCCTTTGTCAGGATCTGTTTTTGACATCGCGGCTTTCAAACGAATAAATTATTCGAAAAACATTTTAATTTTCTTTGAAAAGTGACTTAATTGAGAGTATTCTATTAATAATAATTATATTTTAATGCAAATTTATTCAATCGTTTAAAAATGATTAGCTCTTTTCTGAATCATCAACAACAAAACCATCTTGACCGAAACTCAGTATCATGGCGTGATATCCTCTAATAGTTTTAATATCTCGTAACATTTTGGAAATCGCTTAAATTTTTTTTTTTTGTTGCCTATAGACATGAGCAGTACCATGGACATAACAGAGTATACTGTTGCGCTCATGATAACCCCTTATGCGTTCCCATTCCTGAGGACTCGGGTGTTATTGCTCTGTACCCAGTAAATTCACTGCTATATCCCACCGTTCAAATCGAAACACAGTTCTGCAAACACAACTGTTTCACGGTAGAAACACAAATGGGACAGGGGTGACCAAGCAAACGACTTTTATACAAAGTCTCCCTCTGGTAAAATTATATAATATATATATTATTAACATAATATTATTTACACATTCCTCTTTTTTTTTTCATAACTTGACCATTTCAATTTAATTTCCTTTCCCTCGACTATTATTACTATTAAACAGACATTAATTCTTAAGTTTCTTGGAAATGTAATTAATTTACTTCTTTTAACTACCAAAACCCATTATCGCACTTAGATCGAAACGTTACAAAGTTATAATTTCAATAGAAGCCGACACCCACTTCACGTTATCTGCACAAAGTTATTTAAACAAACAAAATTGAGGCCTGCCGAGCACGTCTCAACTTGTTTGCTTGTTTCGAGTCTAAAGGGGATCCTCCACATCTGTTTGTCATCCAAATATTGAAGATACATCAGCTTAAACTTATTGTATACTTAGAAATACAATTAGTCGAAATACAAGTTAAATATGATTTACGATCACTAACTAAATCCACGGCTTCGTCGTATTATAATCAAATTTATTTTAAGCCAGCTTTCTAGCATACCGATAACTAAAAAAAACTGCAATGTAAATTAATAATAAATAAATAAATAAATAAAAAAATTGTCACTATAATAATTGAAGATTGTGCCCCAAATGACAAAATCAGTTATTTCAAACGCGTTTAAAAATTTCTATGCGACCAATCGCCGTATGGTCCCGGCATAGAATAGGCCACCCCTTCTTTTTCCGTGTCTGTCGTAGGAACCGACTAAGGGAGGACGAGGGATGAGCAGCAGCGTCCCTCTTAAACATCTCTTAAGCCTGACTGCGGTTGCCAATCCGCCTGCCAAGCGTGGCAACTACTGGCAGAAGCCCCGAAGAGGGAGACTTATGTTCAGCAGTGGACGATTATAAGCTGCTATGATTATGATGATAGGACTAATTTATAAGTATATTGTAAGTGCCTCCAATCAAACTGTTTATAATTACTCCTCTCCATCCAAAGGTTGCCTGGAAGAGATCGCTCTTAGCGATAAGGTCGCCCATTGTTTTCTCATTGTGATTATTTCTTGTAATTGTTTGTATCTATAATAAGTTTACTATTGTTATCTTTTGGAGGAAACAATAAAGTGTATCTATCTATCTATCTATCCTTTCAGGTAATAAATTAATTTTCCAAAACAGTTTAGAACTGACGGAGTTATTAGGTAACAAATACAAAAAATATCGAATTGTGTACTTCCTTTTTTTGAAGTCTATTGAAAATTTAGTAAAATATGAACGCAGCAATTTTCTGTGAACTTTATTGTAAATATTCTTTGTGTATTTATTGTACAATAAATCAAACGCGGGCTGCGCGTGACGTGTACGTGATGCAGCAAACGGAAATTTGCATTTTTATTACTATCTACAACTATATATAGCACAATTTGTATATTTTATTTTGTTTTATTTTATTTTATTTTTATTTATTTACAAAATTTTACACACTAACTTACTATAATTGATCTATTGTTATTGTAAAACAACAAACAAAGAAAAACAATAAACTTAGTTGTTTTTCTTTGATTTTTATTTTTAATAACTTCTCAAAAATGGCTTTATTATTTTAGTTTATTTATCTATAACATTCACATATGCGTATACCTCTATATGCATTAATTATTTCAGACACTAGATGGAGTGACGACCTGAAATGCATTACAGAAAGTCAATGAATGTAGGTGGGTCAGAAGCGTTCCTTATTGCAGTGTATGGGGGAGGATTATCTCCAGCAGTGAACGCATAATGGCTGAAATGATGATCAGCTCCAGGAACTTCAGAGATAGACCATAACTAAAAAACTACGCAGTATAAAAATAAATGCTGGGCCACCCCTTCCTTTCCAATGGATGTCGTAAGACATGAATAAGGGAACTTAATGATCGACGGATAGGCAGCAGTGTCCCTCTTAAAACTTCGCCAAAGCCTAACCTTGACAACCCGCCTGCCAAGCGTGACAATTACTGGCTACCCCCAAGGGGGAGATCTTTTTTTTTTTTTTTTTTTTTTTTTATGCAACTTAGAATGACAAACAAGCTGACGGCCCACCTGATGGAAAGTGGTAACCGTCGCCTATAGACATGAGCAGTACCATGGACATAGCAGACTATACTGTTTCACCCATGATACCCCCCATGCGTTGCCGTTCCTGAGGACTCAGGTGTTATTCCTCTGTACCCAGTAAATTCACGCCTTTTACCTATGTTAACAGTTGACGAATTATATGATAATAATAAAATAAAAATAAATAAAAATCAGTTTTAAAATGTACAAATGAAGCCCTTTCGTGTAATACCTCATTTAGACCAATAGGTCAATTTTGAAATTTTGAATATCTGTTTCGGATCCGCTAGTAAAGAAAATAAAAATATTTTTTCAATTATTTACATTGCATTGTGTGCGAACCAATAATATGTAAAATTATTCTAAATTGCAAATTAATAACATTGTTAGTTGAGATATAACTCTTTAACAGACGGACGGATAGACAAAGTCGCAAAATAAGGATTTCTTTGTACCTTTTTGGTACGGAACCCTTAAAATCATTAACAATATGTACGATATACGAGTATATAATTGTCTTTACGTTATGAACATAACTATACACGCTCACCTCACAATCCCAAACCGCAACATTATAATTGGATTCATTAATCCCATATAGACTTTAATTATCGGAATTGGTGTAGTAACGAGGTATCTATGGGTCACCAGCGACCAGATTACAAACGGTTATATCTCAATGTCCTCTGTACCCCTCAATGTTCTCAGATTTAGCCGCAAGGGGATTAATGAAAAGGAATTTATTGCCTCAATTAGAATCTCGCATACCAGACAAAAGACGATCGTAAATTGGATTTTTAAATATATTGCCAATATTTTTAGTATATTTTAGAAAGAAATCGAATAGGCTATTTGATTATTTAAGATTTCCAAATATTCCAAATAATAATGAATATCTAACGACCCGACCCGGCTTTGCATGGCCGTCCGGCATTTAAAATTTGTGTCAACAACGAGAAAGTTTAAAATTAAGTAGTACCCATGTAAGTAGGGTAAACTAAAGTATTATTTATTTAAGAGTATTATTTGGTTAAATGTTTTATTAAAAAAAATATATAAACATCAAGTGTGTGTGCAGTTACACAGGAACACTCCTTTTTAAATGATATAATTTAATATTCAATGTTTGAGGACTTTGATTTGTCAACCTCCAACCTCCATCAGGGTAAACTCGGCTACTAAAGACCACTTCACCTTCACCACAGAATAATTCCAGTGAACTCGCGTCCAGAAATACTCGCCATGATGTAGAATCCAAAGGGTTCCATTCTACCTGCCTTACGTCACCAGATCCTCTGTCTACTACAACTTTTCTGACATCCGGGTCCCATTTCAACCAAACTTTACCGCCACCCTCCCGACCTTCGAGTAACAATTCAATTTTATTTTCTAAATTGCCCTGTACTAAAATTTCACCAGTTTTTTCAAAATCTATCACATCCCCTTCTTGGAATTCTCCATCTAATAATGTTTGTTCTCTAAGACTGATAATAGATTCTACTGGCTTCATGATAATCCGGTCGCCTACAAGTCTTAGCTCTCTAATAATAGTCAAAGCTCCAGCCCAGCCGTCTACGTCTTCGGGGTGCGGTACTTCCCACATACCAAACCAACCTGCAACGTACCTCTTTCCATCTGAGTCTATCGTTTGTGTTGCATAAAAATCATGTCCATAATCCATTTCTTGAAAAGGTACTTCGTGAACAAACTCAAAGGTATCGTAGTTGAAACTACCAATTATATATCCAGTTTGAAAAGTGTTCTTGTACCTATCACCTTCCGGTTCCATTCCTTGAGGTGACATCAGCAATACATATTTGCCATCCAGCTCAAAGAAGTCTGGACATTCCCACATATATCCCAAATCACCGGTTGATTCTCCAAGAATAGACAGAAATTCCCAATCCTTTAAATCAGTTGACCGATATAAAAGAACTCTTCCTCTTTCATCCAAAGTTTTGCTGCCTATGACAACATACCAGAAATCTCCGTGTCTCCAAACTTTGGGGTCTCTAAAATCTGGGGATCCGTTAGGCGCTGTCGGCAATACAGGGTTACCTTCGTATTTCTGAAAATTGACTCCGTCGTTACTAAATGCAAGATACTGGCTCTCGTTGTAATAAGGGTCGATATCTATAATTTCATGGGCTGTGTACATCAGAGTCAATATGTCTCCGTCGACAACGGCACTCCCAGAGAAACACTGCTCGTTTCCAGGAACCAACGCTGTTGGTAATACTTTCCAGTTAACCAAGTCAGGACTAGAAGAATGGCCCCAATGCATCGGGCCCCATACGCTGTCGTATGGATAGAACTGATAGAAAATATGGTACTCCCCTTTGTAATACGAGAATCCGTTAGGGTCATTCAACCACCCCACAGGTGGTGCAACATGGTAATGCAGTCTGTACCTTTGATTTATTTGAGACTTAGTTTTTTCTATGTACTCTTCTACTTCTGCAATAGCAGTATCCTGTCTTTGAATCGTAACTTTCGAATCCACTATTGTCAAAAGGCAAAAAGCCAAATAGGGCCAGAATGAAGCCATGATTGCCAACTATGTTGAATACGAAAGATATGACTTATATAGTCTTAGATTATTTGATAAAAATCCTAATCGACGATACACTATCTATGGGATTCTGTTCATCTATTCGGAAAAAACCAGTTTATCTTTCAATGAAATAATTCCTACATGTTTAGATTGCACCGATAGATTTTGACACGCAATAACAACCCATTAAAAAATATACCAATATAACATAAACCTATTCCTGATAGTCAGTCCCTAAATATTTTTAAGAACATATATTTATTTATATGTCTATGTATGTATATACGTATGTATATATACAATTATATATGATCATATAAGATAAGCATTTAGTTCTATATGGCCGTGTGGTCCCGATATTGAATAGGCCACCCCTTCCTTTCTCGTGGGTGTCGTAAGAGCTGACTAAGAGTGGACGAGGGATGAGCAGCAGCGTCCCTCTTAAAACATCTCCAAAACCTAACTGTGGCTACCAATCCGCCTGCCAAGCATGGCAACTACTGGCAAAACCCCCTGGAGAAGAATCATGTTCAGCAATGACAGTTAAAAGCTAAATATGATGATGATAATGACAATAAAGTATCAATAAATAAATCAACCAAACCACACACAAACATCATTCCATTGAATGATATTACAAAACTGCTCTCCCATCGAACCATCACGTCATGATCAGGTGAAAAGGTGATAAGATTACAAAAGGAACACGAGTAGCAGTTGAAAATTACTGTAAGTATTAAGAAAATTCCGCTACCACTACTATGTATAGGTAAGATACAAATCCACTTCAATTCGATGTTAACATTGCGAGATTAGATTAAATTCCTTTTAAAAATGTCGGACGCAACCTGATTTCTAGTTGAAATATTTCAGCCATCCAAAATGTACATCCGGCGCAGAGGACCACCTTTGCCCTTTATAAAAGCTTGAATATTTCGTTAAATAACGCCCACTTGTAAATTTCTAGTAATGTCAGAACTAATAAACTACTAATTTAGTAATATAATTATTTAAGTTTATTTTTTAAAATAGAAATAACTTTGTAGACTTGTTTACAAGCTGATTTAGATCGTAAATTATTTAATTATTCCATTACTGGTTTTTTTTTTATTGATGAAAATGGAATGGTAATCCCGCCTGCGCTAATGGGATACGCTGGCGGGGCACCAGTGAAGGGTGATCGATGAGGATGAAAAAAGGCCAGTTAGCCCATCATGATGAATTCATCAGGAATTAATCATGATAGTTTCCAGGGGGAACCGCGAGGAGGTCGACCTGGTTGGATATATTGCTAGCAATGGGATTCTTAGTCTCCATTACTAACAATCCCTTTTCCCCCTTCTATTACTGGATTCGGGATGTTACTATCTGCTGAGAAGAATCTGCATGAAACACAACTTCACTGTCACATCACGGCTATCTGGATGGACGACGGTCCTCTTGTCCTTCACCTTGCGTTTCGGAAGACATCTTCTTCCATGCATAACCAAAATATGCAACCAAATCCAAACAGCAATATTTCCGAATAGATTGAAACCTTCAAGGAAAGAGCATACTCCTTCTTAAAGACCGGCAACATACCTGCAATTTTTTTAGCGAGTGCCTATTGGCGGCGATAATCACTTACCGTTAAGTAAGGCACAAGATACTTTTCTTTAAAAAAAAATACAATAAATAATCACACTGATTATTTATTTATTTAACTCTTTATTGCATCATAAATAAAAATATACAATGACAAGTGAATAATTCACGTGAAATACAGTAACATAAATACAGATTGAAATATACACATAAAGGTACATAAGGCGTTCTTAGCGCTAGGGCAATCTCTTACAGACAACCTTTGGTTAAAGGAGAACAGATAGAAATGGGCAGGTGGCGCAAGAGTGAATTAATAATTTTTCGTGCATAAATTACAAAAACATGTAATGCACGAAAATATTAAATGCATATAATTTATTAAACTACTTACTATAACAATATATATATATATAACATACATACAAAATACATAAACATACACATATAAATACATACATAGCACACACAAGGAAATATGACAAATCTAGTCCAAAAATTACAAAGGAATGGAAAAGAGTAACTACAGTGAAAGAAAATGTGATTTGACTTGTCCTTTAAATGAAGCCAAGGATTGAGCACTCCGTTAGGACGGTGGCAGCGAGTTTTAAAAAAATTCTTTCACCTATATAAAGCTACATTGCCCACGAAAACCTTGGACTGTATTTTATTTTATTATATATATATAAAAATAAAGAATTAAATAACACAAACCTCAAAGTTATTTGTAACTAGTAAATTAATTTAATCCAGTATGCAATATCGATCCTCACTTCTGTCTGTAAGTAGTTATTTATACACGGCCCTGCCTCGGCGGTGACTAACTTTAGAAACGCTGAAAGCAATGAAAAGCGTTTACGAGCATGAATTTTAAATGATCTCAGCTGCGAAAGAAGACATGATGATGGGTTGAAAGAAGTGCAGTTTCAAGTTTCAAGTTGATATAAGACAACTCTTGGTACTGCCAAACTTTGTACTTATAATTAAGTTTCTACAGTAAGTATGTTTTTTTTTTATACCTTAACACAATTACAAACTTAATACCAGTATTTACTGGCGACTTCTCCTATGGCTATGCTATGTTAATTGAAAGGGATAAACTATTTTCTATATTATTGAACACATGTAAAGCGCCTTAAGAACTTAACCAATAGGTATACTTATTAATCAAATTAATTATATCAAATTTAATTTATATTTTTTTATAATGTGTAAAGAAGTAATAAATAATAAAAAATTGTGCGTGCGTGCGTGCGTGCGTGCGTACGTGCGTGCGCGCGTGCGTGCGTGAGCCGTGCGTGCGTGCGTGCGTCCGTGCGTGCGCGCGTGCGTGCGTCCGTGCGTGCGTACGTGCGTGCGTGCGTGCGTACGTGCGTGCGCGCGTGCGTGCGTCCGTGCGTGCGTGCGTGCGTGCGTGCGTGCGTGCGTGCGTGCGTTCATTCAGCAACTCGTAGAAAATTTTAGCAACAGAATAAAGTTAATGCAACTGTAATGAAAAAAATTAATATGAAACCGACACTCTCGATTATAGAAATAATTGTGAGAATCGCTTTAGAATGTGTGTGTGTTTGTATTTGTTTGTGTGTGCGTGCCTGTGTGCGTGCATGCGAGCGTGGATGCGTGCGTGTGTGTGTATGCGTGTGTACACACGTGCACCTTTGTAAGCCATGTATTCACTCTTCCAAACTAAAAAGAAATATATCTGATTATGTAGTACTTTATTATACACTAGTTATATATCGCGACACCATCCTTATGAACCAATATGTGAGTAGTGAGTGATCACAGAGTATTTGTATTCAGACGTTTTTTGTTTGAGTTAAATCTTTTTATAATATATTATTTTGTTATTTTTATGTAACATTCCTTTTTACATGTTATTGTACACATGCTTTCCTGGGTGAACGTATTGGAAGACTGTAAGGCTCACCCAGTAGATGTAATAAATAAATAAATATATAAAAACTGTAAAGTAATATCAAAATCGGTACAGCATCACCGTCGTAATCACGTAACTCGTTCGCAAAATTTGGAGACGAATTTGAGAACGTGAACACTTTAGAAGTTTGGCTTAATTAAGCAAATCGTTTTACGTGAGTGGCACGAGCACACCACTTGACTACGAATGATTCAGGTGCGTTCAGGCACGAAGGCAGCATATTCAATGCATACTCGTATCTGACCGCGAGCTGTGGAAATGGGAAAAGTTGGATCGTAACCGCCACCGGAATATACATCTTTTAGTTATGGCTGATACCTTTAAGTTGTTATAACCTAGGGGAGGAGGGAATTGTTAGTAATGGGGTCAAATGGCCCCATTACTAGCAATATATATTCTTTATTGCACTTGTAAGTTACATATAATATAATCTATTTATGAATGTTGTGAGCAAGGGTGCACTTGTCTCTGACAGAGATCTCTTCCAGTCAACCCGATACAGTTAGAAAGCATTATGTTAGCGGGCAACTGAAGTGCTACAACTATTAATATTTAGAATTAAATAAAATATTAAAATATATAATAAAATATTACATAAATACATACACTATAAATACATATAATACCTATCTTTTTATATAATAAATGTTAAAATAAATGAATATACTACTTACATTAGAAATTTAGTTTAATGATTTCAAAATTTGACAGTTCAATTAGAAAAATAATATACAAAATATATAATATATAAAAGCAATATACCCTGTCAGGTCGACCTCCACGTGGATCCCCCTGGAAACCATCGTGGCTTATTCTAGTTGAATTCGTCAGGATGGGCTAACTGATCTGCTTTTATCCTCATCAGTCATCTATCACTGGTGCCCCGCCAGTGTATACCGATAGTGCAAGCGGGGTTACCATACCATTATCACCCATTTGAAAAAAGTTGTTATAATCTAACTTATACTATGTTAACTTATAGACAACTTTATTAGTATAGCTGTTTAACATACCGCTTTATCTTATGTGTGGGTTCGATACCTGCGTGACACAAACATTTGTATTCATAATTATAACTATTTATTTATTTATTTTATTTATCCATTAGTACAAATATGTGTACATGGCGGACTTAATGCTAAAAGCATTCTCTCCCAGTCAACCATAGGGAAGTGTCAGAATACTCGAATGCGGTACTACTAATTATTGATATACATACATACTAAAATTACATATATACACGAATAAATATATATAAATAACAAATATACTTACACATATATAAAATATACTATATTATACACGAAATTGAGAATAACATAAAGTACTTACTGCTCGGATAGAGTAAAAAAGTGAGCGTGAACGTTTTTTGTTTGAAAGACGGTTTAGTCGGTAGTCTCTTAATGGTATCAGGAAGCGCGTTCCAGAGTCGTGAAGAATGTAGTAGACAAGAATTTATATTGGTCTCGGTGTTTATATCCTAGTAATATTGATATTAAATGTGGTCCCGGCGTAGAATGGGCCACCCCTTCCTTTCCTGTAGGTGTCGTAAGAGGCGACTAAGGTAACTTAATGGTCGAGGAATGGGCAACAGCATTCCTTTTAAAACATCACAAAATTTTAACTGCAGTTGTCAACCCACTTGCCAAGCGTGGCAATTACTGGCAAACCCCCTCCTTGTGGGGGTGTCTTATGTTCAGCAGTGGACAGTTAATAGCTGATATGACAAATATTCTAAATATAAGTTTTTTTTTTATAGGTGAAAATGGTATGGTAACCCCGCCTGCGCTAACGGGATACGCTGGCGGAGCACCAGTGAAAGGTGATAGATGAGAATGAAAACAGGCCAGTTAGCCCATCATGATGAATTCATCAGGAATTAACCATGATAGTTTCCAGGGAAAACCACGAGGAGGTCGACCTGGTTGGGTATTTTGCTAACAATGGGATTCTCAGTCTCCATTACTAACAATCCCTATCCCCTCTTCTAAATATAAGTTTGTGACGATAGACGAATGTATGTTTGTTACTCTTTCACACAAAAACTACTGAACAGATTGGAATGAAATTTTGTGCAAAGGTAGGTTATATCCTAACTTAGCAATAGATAACTTTATATGCTTACAGATTCACGCGGACAAAGCCACGAAATATCACTAGTATAACTCGTCAATGTAGTATGAACTCCGGTATGAATGTAGGTAGATTTCGGTATCTCGCAAAAGTAGTCGGCAAAAGTATCAACCAAAGGATATAGATAATAACAAAGATAACTAAATATAAAAAAAAATATAAATCCAATATCTATCTATCCTATTCTATCCTATTGAAGAGCTGCGCTCTTGTCGGTGGAGCTCTTGCCACTCATTACGGTTTTCAGCGAGTCTCTTCACCTCTTGATACGACACGACACCAACTCCTTCCTTGATCTGCCTGATGTAACTATGCCTCGGTCTCCCTCTTCCAATAATAGTATAATAATTCGATTATTATAAATTTATAATTATCGTACTAATTAATATACTAAAAAGATAGAGTAAAAAACAATGTGATTAGAGAGAAGTGTGGACTGAAAGCCGATGTAGTGACAAAAATCGAAAAAGGAATGTTGCGTTGGTTTGGTCATTTGGAGAGGATGGATGAAAGAAGAATTACGAAAGAGATTTATCGAGCAAGAATGAATGGAGGTGTCGGTCGGGGTCGCCCTAGACGGACGTATGTCGCCCAAATAGGCGACGTGCTGAAGAAGGGCCAAATTAAAAGTACCCGTAACCGGCGAGCTTGTATGAAAAGATTGATGAATGTGGAAGAAGCGAAAGAGGTTTGTTTGAATCGAAGCGTTCCATTGTTTCTGCCTACCCTAATGGGAGACAGGCGTGACAGATATGTATGTATGTATTGTAATTTCATAATATCTGTACATGGAAAGTATTTAAAAAAGTTTATGTGAGTGGTCATAATATAAACAATATAAATAAAAATTAAATAAAAATATATATTTTTTAAAAACTTTGCTTTTTTTTTTTTTTTTTTTTTTTTTTTTTTTTTTTTTTTTTTTTTATAGAACTTAGAATGGCAAACAAGCTGACGGCCCACCTGATGGAAAGTGGTAACCGTCGCCTATAGACATGAGCAGTACCATGGACATAACAGAGTATACTGTTTCGCCCATGATACCCCCATGCGTTGCCATTCCTGAGGACTCAGGTGTTATTCCTCTGTACCCAGTAAATTCACGCCATATCCCACCCTTCAAACCGAAACACAGCCATGCAAACACAATTGCTTCACGGTTGAAACACGAATGGGACAGAGGTACCCAAGCAATCGACTTTTGTACAAAGTCTCCCTCTGGTAAACTTTATCTGCCTGTATATTTATCTGTTTATGTCTATATTTGTTCCAGAATTACGCAAAAAAAACTGCACGAAATCGGATACGGTTTTCACAGCGGTATGCCTCAAAGCCTAACTTAAAAACTGGAGCATGATTTATCTTGATACGCTATCCAGACGTGATTTATTTAATTAGTTTGCCTGATTTTTAAAACCACATGTACAAAGTAGCAGGCAATTAGCTAGTATTAAATATAACTAGAAATTAATTAATTAGTATTAAATTTAGCAAAAGAATACTTTGTACAAAAGTCGTTTGCTTGGGCAACTCTGTCCCATTCGTGTTTCTGTGTTTCTACTGTGAAGCAGTTGTTTGCATGGCTGTGTTTCGGTTTGAAGGGTGAGATATGGCAGTGAATTTACAGGGTACAGAGGAATAACACCTGAGTCCTCAGGAATGGCAACGCATGGGCAGTATCATGGACGGAACAGTATACTCTGTTATGTCCATGGTACTGCTCATGTCTATAGGCGACGGTTACCACTTCCCATCAGGTGGGCCGTCAGCTTGTTTGGCATTCTAAGTTGCATAAAAAAAATAAAAAATACTGTATTTGTGGTTACACTTGTGATTTATGTATTATTTATGCCTTTGCAGAAAATAAAGATTATTAATCTTTTAATATTTCTACAACAGATCTTTTTAAAATAATACAATAAATCTCTTACTGCACTGGGTTGGTTAGAAAAGATATCTTTCAGAGATAAGCCCACCCTTGCAAGTTGTTAAACTGATCGCTGTGTCTTTTTTTTTACAAGTGCAATAAAGAGAATATATATATTATAATATATTTCTATTTCAATAATATATTAAATAAAATACACATTAGGAATATTAGTATTGAAATAGGCGTTGATTTTACATACAAATCTAAGGGAAATTTATAAAAAAAATCATCGACTTTCTTGTTCAACTTCTTCATAAGCTTCTTTTGAAAACGTAATAAGATTTTTCATTAATTAAGTGCTCGTAAAACGTATTTTAATTATAATTAACTATTATAACAAGATTTTGCTTTTATTGTTGCATTTATCTTTTCGATCATTTATCAATTTCCGTATTACACCTACATATTATTTACATTATTATTTTTTTTTTTTGATTATTTACATTTTTTCAAATATAAAACAACATATAAAACAAAAAAATTAATATTGGAGATATGTTTTCAGCAAGTGTGTCGCAGTGACCCAAAAAGGCTACAGCTCAGTGATAGTTTTGCTTAAAAGCAAAGCACTGATTTTCAGCTGCAACCTGAAGTAAGGCTACACGGACGCGTGCAACAAACCCAGAGTGTTACCAATTTAACCTTTTATTTTGACCTGTGTAACCAATTTAATAGCAAAAGGTAAAATTATATTATATAGATACATACTTATATAGATGATGCATAAATAATATATTTCATTAATTAATTAAACATAATTTTTAACATATACAAATAATAATTCACCACAGTAATTATGTTAAAATTACACCTTCTTCAAATCTTTAGATTCCATTTCATTCAAACCCTCGAGGTGCGAAATCCCATAATATTCTCCCAAACTTTATATCAATTTAAACTAAAAGGTATTACTACAAAGATTTACTAAAACCCGAATTTGAATTTAAGGACTTTCCGTTCATTTTCAAATGTACTCTTTAAAGTAGATAAGACCTTTTCATTCACCAGCGTCTGAGCATCGTTCGCCCATATATAGTCTATATGATTGAACTCCGGATAAGGCACTAAATACATTTGCGTCGTACTCGGCAACTTTTCGCGAAGTTTCCGCACATCTTTTTCCCGAGACAATAAATCGTTCTCAGCCCAAAACAATGTAATTGGCAATGTTATTTTACTTAAATCGTATTCTGGTGGCGTCTCAGCACCATAAACCTTCTCGTTGTAATAAGAGCCGTAATCAAATTGCTGGAATTTACCTCCAGCTACGATTTCTTGAGCGAAATGCACCGCAGTCTTCCATGAGGTGCCAGTGCCTAAATGTGCCAAAAATACTGGCAGAATTGTACTATTCATTTGTGCCTCATCATATCCACAAATTTTAAATATGATGTGATTACAGATAAACTTGTCCACGTGGGCAACATCACAAGCCTTAGGAAGACTACCCAAAAAGGAATCTTTGGGGATGAACTCATGTGCACCATACATCATCTCCATGTATGCAACATTACTAGCAATAGGTGCTAGGGAAGTCAATGAGGAATTAACATCTGATGTAAACACGACAGGGGCTAGAGCGATGGCACTGTACAAAATATTATTGTACTCTGGACGGAGAGATAACATGGCGAATAAAATCGTAGTACCCATCGAGTGTCCAATATAAGAAATACGCGCGTCACCATTTTTCACTTTGTTAATGTAATCTATTATAGCGGGCACGTCATACAAAGCCACATCATGCCACGAAAAATTCCAATACTCTTTACTGTCGATCCCCCACCAAGAATGTTCTCTTGAATACTTGTTTCCTCTTATATTTGCCATCCAGACATCATATCCTGCATCTGCTAGTACGTATCCTAAACCTTTATGAGGACCATTTATTATCCAATCTGCAGAGCTCCCGAATATTCCATGTTGCAAGAACACAGTTTTAGAAGGAACTTCACTGCCATGTTTAGTTCGTGGAATTCTATGAATGTTTAAGAAGTAACCTCTCGATACAACTGTGTGTGTCTCGCAAATGTAACCATTACGTGCAATTATTGCCGGTATAGATAAAAGTGCATCAGATATAACTCCATTGACTGATTTCTGAACTGAATCGGGTACGTAGGACCATGTATCTGTGATTTCCCTGCCAGTTTCTTTCACACCTTCGACATACGCATTCACTTCATCGTTGATTATTTTCTTTTGTTCCTCTAAATAATTATTCACTGTATTGTGGACCCTTACGGCTTCTTCATAACTGGAATTGACGGTCGCTTCGAAGCTACGCTTTTGATCTTCGAAAAATTCATTCACTTTATTCGTTTGATCTTTAAAAAAGTTTTCTACGTTGGATGCCCATGTTTCGTTTTCAGTAGAAACTTTTGCAACTAAAACTAGTAACAGAAATATATTCACGTCCATGTTGCCGGATATTTGACCACGACTGAGGTCTAATTGACTTAATCTACATTAATCATCGACCGTGGAGGTCAAGACCTAATGTTATTGCTAATGATAACGCGCGCTGGTTGATATTTCGTAAAAAATTGATAAATACATTTTTGTTGACAAAATGTGGAAACTATGACGTCTTCATTTCACAACATTTGTTGTAAAAAATTCCATATGTTACAGCAAACTGAAATAACGGAGAATCCGCATTCTACAACTTATGACCCTTGTAATAGAATAAAAACTTGGATGAAATATGAAAGCCTACTAAGGTCTCTATTTAAATGAATTAATTAATTGTTATTTACCACCGAATTATGAAAAGTAACATATCTATTAGAATCATATTCATAATTAAGCTCGTTTAATACTAGAGTATTTTTCTTTTATGTGAATGCTGTCATTGTTTTGTTTTGTGTTGTATTATTGTAATAAATTAATTGTATTCTATTCTATTCTAGTGTATTAAATTTTATAAAATGGTTAAAAAATAATTGTCTTACAATATTAATCTCTTTGACCAACAGTCTAATATATTTTAATGTTTTAAAATTCAAGAATTATTAAATTCCTGAATATGTAACATATGTATGTAAGTCTTGAAAGACATAAGTAGGTCTTTTAAGTAATGCTTATAATATTTTAATAATAATAATAATTTATTTATTTGCTTAAAAACATGGTATACAGGTGCTGGTAATAATATGTTATGAACACGTGTGTTTCACCAAAACAGTGATATGTAAAATTTTTGTATTTATAGTATTTTTTTCAAATATTACTATTTTTACCCGCAACATTATCCGCGTAAGTCGGGGTATGTAAAATTTACAGAAAATAATGCAATATATATACATGTATATGTGTATGTGTGTGCGTGTGTGTGCGTGTGTGCGTTTGTGTGTGTGTGTGTGTGTGTGTGTGTGTGCGCGCGTGCGTGCATGTGTGCGTGTGTATGTGCGTGTGTGCGTGTGTGTGTGTGTGTGTGTATGTGTATGTATGTATTCCCTCGTCAACCTCCATGCAGTCCCTCTGGACTATCATCGTCAATCCCTAGCAACATCGATCACTTAGCTTCTGAAAATATTCTCATTTTGAATTCTATCACGCAGCGAAACTCGCGCAGAATTTAATCGCTTTAAAATGAATTATGTAAATTACCCACACGGCGCGTGTAGGCAACTTATGGAAATTTCCCAGCATTCAAGCCAATGGTCAGTGCAATAATAATAATCTTTATTTGCTTAAACACGGTAAAGTCAAATATGTTGCATTAGTCAAAGAACATTCGTTCCAGAGGGAGACTTTGTACAAAAGTCGATTGCTTGGGTACCTCTATACCATTCGTGTTTCAACCGTGAAGCAGTTGTGTTTGCATAGCTGTGTTTCGATTTGAAGGCCATATCCCACATATGGCGTGAATTTACAGGCTACAGAGGAATAATGTCTGAGTCCTCAAGAATGGTAATGCATGGGGGATATCATGAGCGAAACAGTATATAGTATATATATTATAGGCGACAGTTACCACTTTCCATCAGGTGAGCCGTCAGCTTGTTTGTCATTCTAAGTTGTATATAAAAAAGTTCGTCCTTAGCAAAATGCATTTAAAATTAACAATTTTTTTTCTTTGTTTAAGAATTCTTTTATATCATAAATACTATTTACATTCTGCCAAGTATACATTCTCTTTATCACTACATAGTATAAAACAAAGTCGCTGTCGCTGTCTGTCCGTCCCTATGTATGCTTAAATCTTTGAAACTACGCAATTTTGAAGCGGTTTTTTTAAAAGATAGAGTGATTCAGGAGGAAGGTTTATATGTATAATACATGCATAATATTGTAAATAAACACTGTAAATTTAGAGATTTCTTATGTGACGTGATGTAATTTGTATCCGCGCGAAGCCGGGGCGGGTCGCTAGTTTTAAATAAATTCACATTTAACAATTTTAATTTATACGGTATTTTATTATATACTAGCAGCCCGTCCCGGCTTCGCACAGGTGGACATTTTTACAACATTTTAAAAAGTGGTCATTGTGACATAACGATAATAGTTGGACGTATAGTATCGCGAAGTTTTTTGTAGTTATTGATATTTTCTTCAATATTGTAGTACATACTTTTGTTCTATCACCAATAGTTTCCGCAGCGCACGCAACGAAAGATATTTTATAGCATTTTTTACACCTTGAGTTACGTAACTAAAGTTTTAGTAAGGATCCCTAATCTTTTCTAGCAATAAATATAGCCTATGTTACTCAGCGTGAATGTAGCTTTCTAATGGTGAAAGAATTTTTGAAATCGGCAAAGTAGTTTTTGAGATTATTCATTACAAACATACATACACATAAAAATACAAATCTTTCCTCTTTATAATATTAGTGTAGATTTGTAATAGGGACAACGGGAATTACCATTCCCTGTGCTCTTATCGTCACATGATATCACGTGTCGTTGTGCGTAAAAATGTTTTCCCTATCTATTAAATATACTACTATTTCCAATGTGACTTGAAATTATAGTTATTTGCATGCAGAGTTATCCAAACTTCCCAGACATACATATAAATAGATGCCTAAACGTAGTCGAAATTTACATACGAGTTAAAACTTTTAATCGAAATATACCCTATTAGGTATAATAAAAGAAAATAACTAGTGATTTTTATGACGAGATACTAATGCAGTGTACGGCGCAGTGACTTCGATTCACTGCTACCCGAACGTAGTCGATGACTGACGAATATACCCGAACGCAGCGACTATCTGCGATTTAATTTAGAATGATTCTGATCTGTAGCATTCTTTATGAAGCCCCGTAACTGCAGTGAAGTATGATTTAGTGTAGCAAATTTCACTTCTAGCATATGAAATATCCTAAGCCTACGCCAAACCCTTCTTCAATCCACACACACGAAATTGAGGGCTGGTTTAAAAACAAAACGATAAGCTTACAACGTTAAGCAACCCACTCACCGGGGGGGAAAGGGATTGTGAGTAATGGAGTTTGACAGCGCCATTGCTAGCAATATGCCTTATTAAGTCGACGTCCACGTGGTTCCCCCTGGAAACCATCGTGAACAATTCTTTTTGAATTTGTCACGATAGGCTAACTGACCTGCTTCATCCTCACCTATCATCCTTCACTGGTGCCCCGCCGGTGTATACCGATAGCGCGGGTGGGGTAACCATTCCATTATCATCCATGACTGCCGTAAAACAGAGTGATTATTAAGCAATGAGAATTGTATCTTTATCTCTTGAACAGCACTTTTACCTTTATTCATAAGAATAAATACACTGAGCAAAAGCGAAACTCCTAACATAAACCTTTTGGGGGGAAAGGGATTGTTAGTAATGGAGACTGAGAATCCCATTGCTAGCAATATACCCAACCAGGTCGACCCCCTCGCGGTTCCCCCTGGAAACTATCATGGTTAATTCCTAATGAATTCATCATGATGGGCTAGCTGGCCTTTTTTCATTCTCATCGATCACCCTTCACTGGTGCTCCGCCAGCGTATCCCGTTAGCGCAGGCGGGGTTACCATTCCATTTTTACTCATAAAAAAAACATAAACCTTTTTTTTTAATGAATGATTATGGAATGGTAACCCCGCCTGCGCTAACGGTATACGCTGGCGGGCCACCAGTGAGGGTCACCAGGTAAGTGAGAATGAAAAGGCAGATCGGTTAGCCTATCGTGACGCATTCCACTAGCATTAACCACGATGGTTTCCAGATGGAACCACGTGGAGGTCGACCTGTTAGGGTATATTGTTAGCAACGGGACTGATAATCCGCATTACTAATAATCCCTTCCCCCCCTCGCTGTGTTGGTTACTTGCTAACCCTAACTAACTTATAGCTCTTAAAAGGACGCGAACTACCAGCGTGTCGATGTAGCTATAATTATTGCATTGACAGAAGTGTCGGTTCTACCTAAATATTTATTCTTATGCCTTGTTTCCCTCTTTATTCTATAAAGATACTCGTAAGCCACCCTCGGCTAGAATTTTAATTATATAACAAAATTTATCGTATCATTATAAGTTAGAGGACATGAAATTTCACATAAAATAGGGTCTTATTAAAATCTTTACTTAATATTTTAAATATCAAAATGGCTTTACTTTTTCATTTACCACCTGTTAATGTCTTAACGGCTCAACGAATCATCTCAAAATTAGGACATTTTTATGACCTACTTAATTGAACAAAGCCTTATTTTTAAGTATTTTATGTAAAGTACTTATTTTTTTTTTAATGGATGATAATGGAATTGTTACCCCACCCGCGCTATCGGTATACACCGGCGGGGCACCAGTGAGGGATGACGGGTGAGGAAAAAGCAGGTCAGTTAGCCTATCGTGACGAATTCAACAAGAATTGTTCACGATGGTTTCCAGGGAGAACCACGTGGAGGTCGACCTAATAAGGCATATTGCTAGCAATGGGGCTGTCAAACTCCACTGCTAACAATCCCTTTCCCCCCAAAGTACTTATATTTGAGCATACAAGAAACGGCTTATATATTGTATGCGACTCAGAAGGTAGGTGACGCGTGAATGCGACATGTAGGGTCAATTTGTCCGTTTTGAAGTATCTACAGTCTAGCGCCTTCGGTCCTAGGCTCTACGCCTCGACCGTGCCCTGGCGTGTAGCACACGGGTGCCTACACTGGTGCACCCAGGTGCACGGACTAGTTCCCCGTCAGGGCTAGCGCTCTTAAAAGGGCGGACGGCCTCGAGTTTTGTCCTCAAAAGCACGTCCTACTCGTTGCAGGCGGCGGCACGAAATCACGTGGCCACGTGTGGGAAGAATCCGACTGCACAATCTTACGATTGTGAGTTGATTCCTCGCGGCGAGCTGTAGCGGCGGCTGTGGCGTCCCAAAGTCGCTCGGCGGCAGCTCTGGAGACTCTCGACGGCGCATGCGGCACGACGTGCTGGGGAAGACGCTACTCGGAGTCTCGAACGGTCGCCCGGAGTACTCACGACTTCTGTATCAAA